TTCGAAAATGCGCCAAACGAGATGATGATTATTCGGAGAAACAAGTCTGTTTCTGACTGCCAAAATGATAAAAAATTTTCAAACAATGGTGTAAAAAATGCTAAAAATAGTTTGTCGTCCATATTTGAAGCAGAACAATAGTAATTCTTTGGATGGCTCTTGTTAGCCAATGCTAGCGCTTTCTCTTGAATGCACAGAAAGCCCAACAGTTGGTCACCAAAGATCAGTCCGGAATCTACATATTCCTAACAGTTCACAGATTAATCCGGCTCAAATGGTGGCGAACTCCGTCGGGATCCCACGTCCACAGGAATTTATTCAAATTTTCCCTTAGCTATGAGGAACCTCACCATTTATCAAGGCTAGTCGGAGCCGTAAAACAAAACCCCGCGTGAAAATACGGACTTACGGTTAGGAATCAGGTATGGCCCTTATCCTTAGGCTAGCGAGGTTAGATCTCGCATGTACCAAGCACGAGAATACTTCGGTTAGTGGAGTACCGTTCGAAAACATCTAGACACTAGCCAAAGGGATGACCAAAAAATGTTGTTCCGGAGTAAGCCATGCATTTGATTGGTGTGACAGATGAAGATCAAGCTAATGCCCGGCAGTTTTGTGTTCTTATCATTACCAGCCTTAAGATTACCATTTGGCTAGTAGTGACCAAAACGAAAAGTGTAACCTGGAAAAAAAAAACAATGCTTCGATTGGCAAAAGTCGACCGAATTCTCTAGGGAGAGGTGCTTCAGATGAAACTGAATTCTAAATGATCTTGCCGTATTTGGATAGGGCTTATAATGTTTTTCAAAGGTGAGGTCCAGTAGCTTCCCTGATCTCAAATTCAAAGATGTACTTTTCTGATGTTGATTTAGTTAAAAGTCGAGTCTTCATTTTATTTCATTTTTCCCAGCAGAGAAATCATCCCTGAGCATTCAATAAAACGGACATTACCCTGTCCTAATTGTTGTGAAAGATCAAATACAAAATTAATTGATTTGAAAGATTAAATGCAAAAAATGAACCCGCTGGTCTTTTAATTACCAAGCGATTACGCTCAACTTTTAAAATTACTGTTTTAGAAAAAATTTCATTCGACTTTTTCTACAAACCTTGAAGTTCCGACAGATTACATTATGCGATTCTCTAATAACAAAAAGTAAAGAATTATTTCAGCCCTGCCACAGATCCACACTACAAATTCTGACGAGCTTTTCTTTGCTCTTGACACCCGGGAAGTATGACAAATTTCTCGAATTCCCCAAAATCAGACCATTCTCTCTTCAAACCAGTCAGTCCCACGATAGAAGTAATGGCTCAATTAAAACTGCGGTGTCCTTTTTAGTAAACTAATTTTAAAACTTTATTTAGTCCTCTTAAAGTACATTATACGAATTCTGCTCAATTTTAGGAAACTTTCACTGTCCTTCAGTGGCCGAAGTCCCCTATTTGCTCATCATCAATCATCGTCAGTAATTCTACCCGCCGTCCCCATCGAAACTGTGGAATTCTGGCGATGAAGCGATGTTTATGCGCTTTGTAGACGTCTTCTGGGACGAAAGTTCGGCTGGCGTTGATTGCATTCCTCTAAAGTGGTGGTGTTCTCGAGCGAACTCGATTATTTCCTCAAAGCATTCCCACTACTGCACTCCCTCACAAACGCATAGCGGACGACGAAATGGGAGTGAGATGTGCAGGAGCCTGATAGTTTCGACGTACTTTTCATGGAATTCATTAAAAACACAATTCCATTCGAATAAATGAATTAGGTGCAACTGGGAAGCCACGGCGAGGGGAAGCATGAGAGTCTAAGGTTGTCTCACCACCATTCCAACTTACTAGATGAGATCAGGTCAGTAGGTATTGGCACCGTTGCGACAAGGATGGCTGTGAATCGAAATTCAATCTAATCCAATCAAATCAGTCAACTCTCCACGCCAATCCACGATCATTCAGTAGCCTATGTCCGTCGAAGAGAGCCTCGGCATCTGAGAAGTCAACACGTGGGGTTATCCCTGTGATATAGGGCCTGATAATGGCATAACACGACTTAGAAGCGTCCTATCTCCTAACATCATTGCCAAAGGGAGTGATTAGTAAACTTTAAGCTTTGACTACGCACCTTCAAGACTGATTTTCGACAAAGCGACACCGACATCGACTCATCAAAGCCGAACTTTCTCACCAACATATATCTTGCAGACTGTGTCTTTAGGTCACAGTTAGGTTCAACAACTCTGCGAGCCATACCACTGTATAAAAACGCTCGTATGAACACGACGACCATATACCTACGAAGACAGACATCTAGATGGCTAGATGCCCGAAACATACTTCTACTAGAAAGTCACAGTCATCCGCCTACGCTGACTTTGCCTGACCCTGGCCAGCATAAGGACAGCTCTTGAAAGCTCAGAGTGTCCGTGCAACAAAACGGGTCAACATTACTTATAATCGCATATGCTTTCAAAAACCCCCGGAAACGTCGCAGGATGCTACCTCATTCGTGAATTATTCCCATCCCCCTACACGGATTGTGCTCATATTCGACGTCCATCCGTCCGCGCACATGTGCTATTAGCTCGATTACCTCTCTCTCTGCTTGTCGTTGTTCAGCTCGCTCAGTATGCTGGTTGTCTTCATTCACGCCTACAGAGATGACAAAAAAAACCACTCTCATTAAAGCCGTGCTCGATGGATATCATAATAATGAATGCAATTTTAGATGAAATTCAAAGAATGTCCACAAAAATCTGCGTCACACATCGTCGGACTTTCAGCTTTCACCCTGTCTTGGTGAGGCCGTGACTGTGGTTCGAACTGGCGACAAGAACATTTCTCAGAGTTTAGATCAGTCCCTTTCCGGACCTCTCATTACAAACTACTCAAAAAGGAGACCACATGCATTAGCTCAATTTGCCCGGCTGCTTCCCGCACACACATATCCCCTCTTCCTCACCACATGGCTATTTAATCAGAGAACGAAGGATTTATACCAAAAAATGAACCTAAATACATCCTTCGTTCATGGCCATAGCGCAACAATGAGTATTGGAGCGCGCTTCCGACGATTTTATGACTTTCAATGGTGGTCCTTTCAGAATTTATTCAACACAAAAAATCGATAATTACCCTACAGTAAAATCCCTTTCTCAAAAAAAAACTAATTAGATATGGTACATTCCTAAAGCTACTAAATCGATATCGAAAAACGACGTGCCCAGTGTCTATTCCTTGTACCGTAGCCACATTCTTCAATAAAACAACCGTGGAGAGTTCATTAAGAAGCTCTTTGCTTCCAGCTACTACTTGTCTTTGATTGGAAATTCCGGGATATTCGTTTTTATTTTGGACCTTTTCGAAGACATGAGAGTGGACAAGTCTCCACTGAAAGTCTGCTTGATGGTCCCACGCACAACGACAGAAAAATTTGTTTTCTAGACAACAAATGAATAGCATAAAATCTCCCTTTTCGATCTTTATCTAAGAAACGTTGAAGGGTAACCGATTCAAAAATCTGCACTGTTCGAACTCCATCCTATTCAATGATTATACAAAACTTTCTGGAAGTCGAGTACACGGCGTATACTGCGACCTCCAGGATTGGGGCCACGAAATAGGGAAAGATTCCTTGATCTACTTGGGAATTACAAACAAACCCGATCCGAAGCAAATCTTTTGAGATTCCGGAAGGGAAATGGAAGATGAAGAGTAGCAACCGATTGGTCGGTGCTTACCGAAGAATTCTTTCTGTGACTGGAAATCCTTAACTAAACTCTCTGGACGTCCCTGATTCTTCATTCTTACAACTTGAAACTATCATTATATCATTGTAATTGTCAGTTTAATGAGTTATTACTCTCAATTACGAAACACTGGTACTCACAACTTCCCAGGACTGGCTGACGACTGCAGCACTACATATAAGGATAGTACTTACAACTTCCCCGGAACCAACTAAAGACTGCAGCACTATAAGAAGAACATGATGGGTTCCCAGTCAAGAGTCTTATGCAGGCCTCCGTCAAAGCCTATCAACTTAAGGCTTAAGCAAGTCCCTCATTCTGATTGCTTGAGCCCTTACTGGATCCTACCTGAGCCGCTTTCAAATTCAAGCAACTTTTTCACTAGCAGTATGTAGGTTCCTGCTCAAAGTGGATCTCTAAAACCGCTCCTATCGCAAGTTGCCTTCAAGCAATACTTGGACAAGATACCTTGGCAATCTTCAATTCCTAAAATCTTGGCAAATTAGCTGCCGAGTTCCCGGTCCCCAAATCCAATGGCTCAATTTTTAGGCTCTCGAAAATCCCATGTCCATCCCACGAAGCTCATCGAGGGCGACATCTCGAAAGGTTTTCATCTGCTCTTGCCAGGCACACGATGATGGATTTAATAAGGATTATAAAATGTGCAAAAGTGCATGCACACCGAAAGTACAGCATTGATGGTCGATCTTTCTGTCTCGGAAACAATAATGTGAAGTTGATTGATGGCAAAAACTCACCAAGGCAAATGCGACGAGGGCATCATCGCCTCTTTAACGGCTTTGTTGGACTTTCCACAAATAAATGAACGTCAGAATTGTGACCATTTAGAAAACGATCCGTTTTCGT